AGGAGAAAGAGAGAGAGAGAGAGAGAGAGAGAGAGAGAGAGAGAGAGAGAGATGTGTTTGCAAGTCTGGTCTTTTCACAAGGCAAACAGGCTGGAAATGAATACTAGGCTTACGACAGAACACATCAATATACGGTATGGCAGCACACAAGCAGAGCCATATTTGAAGCACGCTGCGTTGCGAAGAGACAAAAGGAAACAGTGGCTCGGATTCTTTACCTTTGCTCTGCATGTGCTTCTCTCCAGGTGTTGCGGAGGCAGTCCTTCGCCGTGGCGCTTGGCACTTTATGGATCCCTGAAAAATACTGGAATCGCCCAAACAGAAGTGCCTAGAACCAAAGGAAGTGAGCTCTACTGTAGAGGTTTGCCTCTGCAGTGTTGGGGAGATGCATGGGCAGAACAAAGATACAGGATCCAGGTCACTCTTTTTTCGCAAGCATGTTCAGCAGTCCCCCCAAACCAGGGATTTTTCATCATTCTTTCTAAAAATGCCTGCTGAAGTGTTAGAACTGCCCTCTGCTGCAACTATCCTCAGGGACTGAGCCAAATCTTTGTTGTGATTATGGCCCCGGTCACACGGGAGGATTTGCCCTGTGAAACGGGACGGGTTGAGGGCGCATCAAATGGGCGCAATCATACGGCAACATCTGGGAAGCGTAGCGTACCCGTCACCAACCCGTACCGTCTGCCCAAAGAAGCGGATTTAAAAAGTACCAGCAAAAGGGTAGTAGCAACTGGAAAACGCGGGTTGCGGGCGAGCGTCAGATCGTGGAAGCGAAGTTAATCTGATGCATCTGGCACGCGCATGCGTCCCGTAGCACGTCTAATTGCACTATGCCGGTTCTTCCTGGCCTTTGATGCGCTTCAACATCGCCATGTGATCGCTGGCTATTGCCATATGCGTGGCACCTCGGGGAACCGTATGATCGCGTTACCGTGCATCTTTTTGATCCGGCGCTAAAATGCCTCCCTTCCACTGCGGATTTTCCCACTCATGTGACCGGGGCCTACGTTTACTGACATTCACAGACATCGTCTGATCAGGTTAGCACTGTGATATCACACCATTACCTACTGTATCCCCCACTGGATGGGATCAACCATGTGACTAATTCAGAAAAATGCAGCCGCAGTAGCAGTCAATAGGGAACATGGTGCAGCCGCAGGAGTAACAATGATGAGAAATGACAGAAAACAGTGGAACAGTCACAAAAATTTAAGTATTTTAAAGGATAAATAATCTACTTTCAGTAAAAGAATGTGGACACTTGAATATTTCACACATCCCTCATACGACACTCTGTTGAAATATTGTTACCAATTGGAATAGAATTCTATGGAGTACTGCAATTAATATTTTAAAATAATCATAAATATTCGTCGACAGTAGAAAAACTCTTCTGAAATCTTTACTGCTCGGACCTAGTTAATGCTTCTAATAAAATCTTCTACAAAGTTGGTGCTGATGGGTCACTTTATTTATATTTGACATTTATACACCTCTTTCTCTCTTGCGTGTGCCCAAAGTGGTTTAAAAAGCAAGAAAATCGGCTGGTAAATGAAGTAAATAAATAAGCTGCAATCTTAGATAGCACACCTACCAAATGAGCCAGGCTTCCTTTACATGATACAAGTAAAGATCCTTGAATGAAAAAAGATATTGTAGAGGGGTTCTTTTGTGTCAGAACTTTGAGCTAATTTATGAGCCCAGTGTTACCATGAAGCAACAACCCAAACAGCAGCTCTGATTACATAACAGCACTCTGATATTCAGAAACAACCACACACCTGAAGTTTCCAAAGGAAATCAAGCCTTGCTGTAGATTCCACCTGCTGAGCATGGAGGTAGACTGCCAAGACAAACACTGTAATGACTACAGGAGTCACAATTTTCAGGGCTACCCTGGACACCCCTGCGGGACTACATGGGAACAGAGAAAGCACACAAACTGTGAACATTCTACATTGTTCGTCACTCCGCTACAGCAATACACTCTGTACAATGCAAGCCGCTTATGGCTGTTTATTTTGCAACAGGTACAGCAAGGGGATAACATCTAGTTGACCGTCAGTAAAATCCACGTATCCTTTCATTCTCTTTGACACATCAATTGAATTTCTTTCTCGTGCTTCTGCATTTGATCCAGCTGGGCTATTAAAATGCAAGTGATCCCTTTTCAGTTTTGCAGTTATTGCCGCAAGGTGCATGTAAAACCAAGGAACAGCAAGACAGACGGCTAACACAGCTAATGCATTCTGTCTCCATGGGAGCAAGACCAAGAATGAGGCACTCTCTTTCTCCAGGCCTGGCATTTCTCAGTGGTGGTGGTAGAAAGGGCTGTCGAGTCACAGCTCACTTATGGTAACCCCATAGGGTTTTCAAGGCAAGAGACATTCAGAGGTGGTTTGCCCTTGCCTGCCTCTGCCTCCCAGCCCTGGTATTCATTGGAGGTCTCCCATCCAAATACTAGCCGGGCCGACCCTGTTTAGCTTTCAAGATCTGATGAGATCGGGCCAGCCTGGGTTACCCAGGCCAAGGCACATTTTCCACTACCCCATTACAATTAAGGGCAGTATTGGTACTGTCACCAACTACTGTTAACACTAATAGTTGGAAGCTGGTTTCAGATCTTGGTTTTATTGCAATCCTGCTTAACGTTAACCATGATTAACAACACTGCCCACAATCTATATACTAATAGCGAAGGCGCCCCCTGCGTGCGGATATCTAAATCCGCACATCGGCGGCACCTGGGGGGCAGGGAGACTTTCCTGCACACTTGGGGCAGTCCCCAGGTGTGCACAAAAATCTAAAAAGTTGAAGAAAGAAAGGGGCAATATTTAAATCCTCCCAAAAGTGAAAGAGCCTTCCCCGCGCATGCGCAGGGAACGCTCTGGGAACTGCGGCGGGATGGCGGTTGGAAGCCGCTCAGGCCACGCCGCAGGAGCAGGGGGAGGGAGGAGGAGATCAACAGTGGCAGAGGATGAGACCGCTGGAGCCGGGGGGAAGGGGAAGAAGAAGATCAGCGAGGCCCGGCGGCTGGAAAAAGGTATGTGGGAGGAAGGGAAAGGAGAAACAGGCCAGCAAAGGGGACCTGAAGCCAAAGCAAACAGGGAAGGAGAAGAAGAGGCAAACAGCAAGCAGAAGAGTATAGGGTGAGTCGCCCACTTGTAATCCTTAACAAGCAAACGGAAATTTACATTTCACAAATAAGAAATGAGAGAGTGGATGATCTTGCGGCCCACCCCAGGTGCCTTCACTGGTTAAGGAATTGGCCTAAGAAAAAATATGACTGAATATAATTGGCATTTCAGCAGGCAACTTCAACGTCCCCTCTCTCCAGCAGGAACTCACCATACTCCATTCCATGTCTCATTTGAAAATACACTGTAATAACAAAAATACAGATTTTAGACAATGTATACAAGGTTTTTAAATACCTTTTCAAACAATTTGCCATTTTATTTCTCTCCACCCCCTTTAAATGTTTAATATTGTCCTATACTTCTTCCTATCCTAAGTAGGGATGGGCACAAACCTGCCCACGACCCTAAATTTGCGACAAAAATTGCCTGGGTCGTGGTTTACAAACCAAGGTCTGTGTGATCTCACCTCCTCAGTGACCCTCCCACAACCTTCCAGGTGGTTTTCAGAGATTTGGGTGTCTCGTGGTGGGGTATGTTGGTGGCATCCGTGGCATACATGCTGGTGCCAATCAATCAAAGCAACAGGATGTGTGTGTGTGGACTTCTGCAGCTCTGGAAATGTGCACCACGTGTTAGTTAGAGTCAGAGAGGGAAGGGAACTGATCATCAAAGCAAGGGGGGATGGACTTCTGAAGCCCTGGAAACACCAATACTAGCACTCCAAAGCTCGACAGGCAGCACTGGCCACCAATAAGAGAGCCCCCATTCTGGTCTATGGGAGCACAATGATATACACACATGCAGCCATTGTTTTCCATCAGCAGCAGTGTTAGTTAGAGACAGAGACGGAGAGGGACGGGAACTGGAAGTCATTCCTCTTGTGAAGAGTGCGGTTGGGAGTGTTTAGTGCTTGCTTACTCAGGGCTCTGAGCCACCTGTCTCTCCGCTAATGCTGGGCAGATGGACTGCACTTTTATGAAGCTTAGAAGTGCTGTACAAATGGCTGAAGGACTATGAAGGGTTAATTCTCCACAGAAACAAAGAGTGTTGAGTGACAGGGTACTCCAAGCATCAAAACACAAATTGCTGCAAAGTTCTTACAGTGAAAAAGATGGACAATAATAGACTATAAATAATGAGCTTTGTGATGTTAATTCTTGTATTTTCAACGACAGGATGCCATCAGAAGAGTGATGACACCAAGAAGAGAAGGATGAACCTCTCGAGTAATCGTTCGTTTCGAAGAGTTTCTTTTTCAAACAGATCTCAGTTCTGTAGTTTTTCTTAATATGACCAAACCACAATGGAGTTCTTACACTCAACAACTCTTTGTTTCAGCTCTTAGCTACCAAGTCTTTTCGGAGGCTGATAAACAGGAGGTGGAGGTGGCGGGGGACTTGGTGCAAGGGAAGAATGGGTGCTGGTTTAAAGATGAAAAACTGTTCCAAGACTGTTGCGGGGGGACGTAATGGGCCTGGTCCATGGATATAAACTGCCTGGCCTCATGGGCTTTGTCAAATCCCTGCACCTGCTACAACGCCAATTCTGGTGGCCGCACATGCGCAAGGATTTATCTCTGTATGTACACTCCCGCCAAACCTGCATCATGTGCAAACCCCGGAAAGGGAAACCTCCTGGATTATTGAAACCCTTACCAACCCCAAGCACACCGTGGGAGGTGATTTCCATGGATTTTATCACAGACTTACCTCCTAGTAAAAACATGACTGTAATTTGGATGGTAGTGGATTTGTTCGCCAAACAAGCCCATTTCATCCCATTCCCCAGTTTGCCAATAGCACGGACGTTGGCTAAAGCATTTCTCAAACATGTTTTCAGACTACACACTTTGCCTACCAAGATAACAACGGACAGGGGCTCCCAATTTATTTCGAGACTAGCAGTAAAGCCCGTTGTGAAAACAATACAACGGGATCTAGAAAGAGGCTCTGGGGGAGTGCTCTGGCTTTGGGCAAACAGGGTCAATTTGCTGTGGTGACCTAAGCAGGGTATAATGACATAGTCCACTGTTTTCTCTGGAGGAGTTAGATGTCATAATTTTCTTGTTTGTCATATGTATAATGACGGCAATAAAAAATTTTAAACATTAGGCTCATGCAGACACCTCCCACCTCCGATCGCCGCCCGGAGTGGGTTGGGGGGGGCGGGGAAAGGCTGGAGTGGGTTGGGGGGGGAAGCTGACAGTGGTTTGTTGGGAAAGCCTGGAGTGGGTTGGG